ACAGTTTTTTTTCCCCCTTGATTTTACAGTAAACTACTGGCAGCTGTGGTTGCCAGCAATCTACCTCCGTAGTTTAAATTAACATTATATTACTGTTAAAATACATTTTTACACTGTGTTTTTAACTCTCACACCTTTAACCCTTTAAACGCCAGAGCAAATACCTCAGTTACTGAGTGTTCAAGAAACATGGAGCAAACCTGAAGTAAATGAATTAATTAAGTGACTAAATGATAATTGACGATTAGCGATGAACACATGAAGAAATACTGAAGGGAAAAAACAAGAACAGAACATAAAATAACAAAAAACTAGAACTTCAGTCACAGCTTTATAATGAAATAACCTGAAGTACAACAAATGGTTAAATCATTAAAATTATCAGCAGATGAATAAACAACTCCATAAATATCATCACCAGTTACAGTTATTACTAAAACATTCATTTTTGTTTATTATCTACTAAAGTTCTTCTTTAGATAAAGGTTAACATTTTACGTCACCATCATGGAGAACAGAGTTTGCTTTTGGGCTCTTAGCCCTGAATTTTTAACATTATTTATTTTGACTGCTGCAACTTTTAAGAACTTTGTTTAAAAAGCTCTTTTGATGTTGCGACTTATTTTTCTATGTTCTTGTGCATCATAATACTTTTTGGAGATTTTAACATTCATATGGACAATAACAACAACACTCTCATGAAAGATTTCACATCCTGTTTAGATTTGGACTTCAACAATACATAAACTTTCCCACACATGATAAAGGTCATTTTCTGGACTTGTTTATGTGTTACACCTGATAACTGTAAAGCTGACTCCTTTCCTTTCTCTGATCATATGCTACTTTCATTCAGTGTTAATCTCTCACTTTCCAAATATAATCCTTCACGCACAATACCATTCCGAAAAACTAAGGACATCAACTTGGACACTTTATCTTCTGATATCAATAGCCGTTCCAGTACTGACTGTCTCTATACACCAGATGAACTGCTCTCTCACTACAACAATAACCTTCATAACCTTTTAAATAATCATGCTCTACTAAAAACCAGGACTGTTTCATTTACTCTGTCTGCACCTTGGTTCACTCCTGCTCTTAGACAATTGAAATCAAAAGGCCGTCAGCTTGAAAGACTCTACAGGAAAACCAACCTCATTGTACACAGGGACATGTCTGCAAATCACATTCATCACCATAAACATTGTATATCTGCTGCTAAATCCACATACTATTCCAGTTTAATCAGTTCCAATGAAGGAATTTGAATGGATTTCTGTAACAACTTAGCTTCATTTTTCTCTTCAAAAATTTAACACACTTTTTTGTTTTTGTTTTAGTGAAAAAAACATTAATTTACTGTAGAATCTGACCGTATTTTTAACAGCATTTTATTTTTACAGTGTGCGTAAAACATGTGCTGAATAAGTTGGCAGTTCATTCCGCTGTGGCAACCCCAGATTAATAAAGGGACTAAGCAGAAAAGAAAATAGATGAAGGAACATCACCTTTTTAAAATGCATCTTATTTCACTAAATAAAGGTAATATTAATGCTGAAAATAAATGCATTTAAAATCATTATACATTATTATACAGTAATTGTGGTACTTAATTACCATTCAACTATCCTGAGCAGATGGCTGTCATGGTAATTATTTAGTCAAGAGCAAAAGACCCAGAGACATTCTTCATCCATGTTAAACTGCATTGACAATCTACATTTTAAAATAATATATGAGTAAAGATGAACTGACTTGACCTCCCAAGTCACTGATACCCCAAAATGCCATAATGATGAGGCTTCCTCGGAAAAAAGCAACCCTCTAATGTAAGGATGTGGTGAAATACATTTGAGTTTGGTTTACAGTTTGTTATGCACTTGTTTGTTAATGCACTTGTATTGTGCACTTGGTGTGCAGACTATTTTACCTATTAGGTTACTTTTCAGTGCCAATTTATTCCTTTCCTACTTATTAACTAGCACCACACTGTACCTGCTAAAACCAAAAACATCATCTGTGTCTGCTCAGTCCAAACAATAGCTGTCTGTTTTTCTGTTCATTTGAGTGGATCCCTGTATTGTTAATTGTGAATTCATATTTTCAAAGACTGTGCATTTATAAAGTTATACGATTCTTTCACTGTAAAACCCAATAAGTCAAGGAAACTCAAACCATTTGTGTTCGAATCAGTACTGTGAACTTAATCCATTTGAGTTCACAAAACAATTTGAGCATAGTAAAACCCAATAAAAGAAGAGAACTCAAACCAATTGAGCACTGTAAAAGTTGCTAAGGCAACTGTTGGGAAAAATAAATATTATTTTTTGTCTCTTTTTTTTCTTTTCATTAAACAATCATTTGTATTGGTCATCTAAAGGTCATATATTAACTGAAGTTTTTCTTGATATATGTTTTGTATATTAATTAAGCAATTTTGCAGAAGTATATAAATGCTGGTCCAAAAGTAACTTCAGCTTTGCAGAAACTTCCTGTCAACAGAAAGGTGTTAAAACTGAACACCAAACACAGAAAGTCGTATGCTTTTAATGCTGTGTAGAGAATTCGTAGTAAAAGAGTATGTATGGATGAATGCAGCCAATGGACAACTGGACAATGATTGACAAATGAGGAATTTCACTAAACTCCACCTGTTATTATCAGCTGCCTATATAAGTTAAGGTTTAAGGTCAGGAAATCAAAACTATTACACACCTCCTAAATGTAACTTTTGCATTGCATTAAGGATAGCACAATTATGTGAATCAAATTATTCATTTGTATCCAATAAATTGTTACGACTTTTAACACTGAAGAAAAATCTCTCCTGACCTTTTTTATTTTACAAGCATGTAATTGATTTAATATTCCAAAACAACTCACACTGTTTGAGGAAACTGATTGCTACAAACCATTTGATTCTATGAGTACTGTGAACTTACTCCATTTAAGCTGAAGTAATGAGATAATTAAGAGATTAAGTACCTGTTGATGGAGCATTAATGATGAACATCTGCTGTTATCAAGCAGAATTCAACATCATTCAACAACTTCACAAACAGCAGGTTCACCTATTACAAACCTGCTTTAGTTTAACTTTATCAGATGTCCACTGCAATTCTCTAAAAAATAAGAACTTTTAGACATCACTACTGATGTGAACAGTGTTTTCTTTGACTTATACCTCATGTTAGTTTTTCTTGGCTTTTGTAACTTTGTTATGGCATGCGTAATAAAAAGAATATAAATATATAATGATGGTATTATCCAGTTTTTAATAATATATGTCATTGGCCACATCAGATTATATCTAAATTGTTGTACTGCTTTTCACTTTACTGATAATAATTCCTCACTCATACTCAAATTCTTGATGTCTGTCTCTTAATTGGTTTATAAAATGTTTATGTACTGTATGCTTGTTTTGAAGCCCTTGATAAAGTGTAGTTAAATTAAGCATCTACTTTATTTAATATTTCACATCCAATACCATATCATCAGCTTAATTAGAAATTAATTTTAACAACAATAATATTTATCATTCTGAAATTTGGTTATATAACCTGACTGCATTATTTCTCCTTTTTCTTATCATTTCATATAATATAATTATATGTTATATATTATTGAACATTCAAAGAAAAACTAACATGAGAATTGAAGTCAAAGAACCCTGGAAAAGCAACCGCTGTTCTCATTAATGGCGATGTCTAACAAGATTGTTTCCTGTTAATCATGCTAAGGTCTTTTGTAGACGTCTGACAGAAACAAAGTCAAGCAGGTTAGTAATAGGTTAAGCTGTTTATACTGTTTAATGATCCTCTGCTAATTTTTTAAAAGATTGAATGTGTTTTATTTCTTTTAAGGCTGTGACTAAAGTCAGCTGTAGTTTTGTTTCTCTTCAGTAATTCTGCTTGCTAACAGCAGGCGTTCATCATTAATGCTTAATTAACACATACTTAATCACTTAATTAAATCATTGACTTCAACACTAAGTTCAATACTATTTTAAAATGAGTAGAATTAACTTCCAGTAAATTTTGAGTTAACTACATTCAATTTATTTGATCAATTTAACTGTTGGGTTTTACAGTGTTGTAATATTTTGTACAGAAGGAATATTTCTAACATAATAGAAAATATGATTTTAATGATTATAGTATTGTGCTAATAGATTACTAATGAACGCTTATGCACTTTGTACCTTGACTAAGTGTCCAGTAGTTTGGGCTGCAAACTAAGGTTGTGCAGCACTGATTGAATTTGGAATTTGTGCAATTTGTGTTTGACAACTTTACATTTTGTAGTGCATTTAGTTGTTGTTTAAGTGCATTTAGTAATTTCAGACTTCATACAGTAGACATCCTTCATCTTCTCATCAGTGTCACATACAGTCTCTCTGTCAACGTGTGTGAAGACTTTGTGTACTCTTGGGGACTTTTATGCTTCCTCGTTCTATACGTTTTCTGCGCTTATAAAGCATCTTGAGGTCAATTTTTCTATGTACGATTTGATTGGAATCCATGGACAAGAACAATTAAGTAGTGACTGTATGTTGAACGAAAAATGTGCAATAAAAATACAGATGCAGCACTAAAAAAATAAAATTTTTAAAACTTCTTAATAAAGTACAATTCCTAGGAAATACTACTCCATTACAGTAACTTGAGTATTTTTAACTAATTACTTTACACCGCTGTAAATAAGTTATTTGAATCAATGATTCTGCAAGTGAAAATGATCATTGTATGAATGCATAAATCTAATGTTTTGTACTTTGGACACCCAGTGTTTAATTTTTTTGAATGTAGTTTTAGAGTTTTAGAGTAAAACAGTAATTTGGTGAATTAGAATTAAATAGAATTTAAAACCTAAAAACTACACTTACAGTATGTTCAACTGTATCAAATCAACTGAAAGAAATATTCAATTTTTTATTTAACAACTTAATGGAGAAATTCAATACATAACATTATTAAATAGATAAAAAGACTCACCAAAACATGCCACCACCCACAGAGTCCAGTATAAGCCACGAGGAACCGTCATGATCGAGTCTCTGAAGCTCAACTCATTTCAACTCTTAGTTTCAGGTACAGTAAATGATAAATAGCTGATACAGAATGAGGACAGAAAGATACCTGCGCCATCTAGTGCTGATGTGAACATGAGAACACCATGGAAGCACTTCCTACTACTTGGGATGGGCAAAAATACATTAAAATGTATTTTAAAATAAAATACCAATTTTAAATGTGTCAAAATAAACTACAAAAAAAAACAGCAGCCACAACTAGTATCACAATAATGTTTTTTTTTTTTTTTTTTAATACTCCAAATATCTTTTAAAGTAAGCAATACATTTCTTGGCAAACCTTACATAAGGCCTATTCAATCAATCCGTTCATAAAAGTGAATTGACTTGTAGCCTATTTTGGTAACCCAAAGGTCCCAGTCTTAGCAGGACCTGAAGATGAGGGGAGTAAATGAACTGCACTCTCTCCATATTTGGTGCCCTTCAGCAAGGTTTTAAATCCTTAAAACCACAGACAAGTACTTTTTAAATTAAAATCTGACAAAAGAGAGTTTTTGCAATGTCACTCTAAAGCACTGAAGTGGAGTATACATAGCTCTAAAGTATAAATAATAAATAACAGAACTGTAGTTATCAATAACATCGATTAATGAATATGAATAACATTAATGGAAAGAAAATTATGTAAACACAGAGTAAAAAAAAAAAAAAAAAAAACAGGCCAAAAAAAATGATAATCAAAAATGAGATCTCTTCGATATCTTAAATATTTCTACCAGATAGAAATGAAATTACTATACAATCAAATGGATACATTAGCATAAGTCTCTTGCTCACATTCATATCTGTTCCTGACTGTTTGGCATACTTTGCACGTCTTCAGCTTCAGGTAAAAATGGTGTTTTGCGGGCGATGTTCAGCCTGGTTCCATGGAATAGACAAGGATGCCATCAATGTAAAAGATAACAAAATGATGGAGACACTTCAGAAAAACCTCATTCATGAAGTTCTGGAAGATGGCTGGAAAAATGGGACAGTCCATACAGCATGTAGTGGGAAGCAGGAGTGAAAAAAGCCCTCGTTTTAACGAATCATCCTTAATGATATGAACAAGATTACATGAAGGTCCGCATTTGAAGCTATATTGTCTCTGACTGTGGTATCTGTTTCTCTCGTGAATCACAGAGCCATTTTGAGGTAAAAACAACAACAACAGCAACAACAACAAAACAACTAATTACCAATTCTACATTATTGTATGTGCATATTTTCACTGCAAAAATAACAAACAAACAAAAACTGCACAAATATTGTCTCCATTTTTTGAGAAAAGCTGCTGCAAAGTCATTTATTGCATCTTTTTTGTTACTTAGTAATTCTTTTAAGGTTCTAAAGGATATCTTATTTATAGTTTGTATTATATTTTATAATTGGGTTTAGTGTGAGTTGGTGTAAAGAGAGTCATCAAAGGTTTTTATTATAAATATAGAACTTGAATGAACTGTTTTAAAATGACTGAAATGGAGGATGGTGATTATTCATGATATTTGTTTGTTTTGACCAAAGATTAACCTTGGCATCTTGTATGGACTTTGCATCTATTCCAGAATCAAATGCGGAAGAACTACAGACAAAAAAAAAAATGCCTACAATATTAATAAGTAATGAAAGAGCCATTAGATAATATAACTCTCATATAAATAACAGCCACAATGTTTACCAAGCCTCGCTATTTATGACCAGAACAAAATGCCTTCCTCATTTAGTTTCCTTAGATGAAACTGTATTCTGGTCCAAAGGTGATTTCATCAGGAATGTAACTTCTTTTTTTACTATTATTATCCCAATCAGTTTTATCTTCGATTTTTTATTACTCTATGCAGGAGAGAAGTGGGGGTTAGTCTTGTGATTTCTAAAATGCTCATCCAAGTGATGGTAAAACACTAATTAAGAAATTAATTCAAATCTTGAATTCAAATCCTAAACTAAAATCTTCATGCTGAGTGTGAATAAGAAGCTAGGACTTGCTAATTTAACAAGGAATAGTAAAATACAGTATATATCAAGCATTTCAGTAAATTTTACATTTAAATTTTGCAGCCAAAACCTTTTTCTTTTCACCAAACTGCTGACCCTCCAAACCAAAAGTAAATTTAAACACAACATAAAACTAAAAACTAAACAAATTGGTCTCCTTCTATTCTTGTGCAAAAACAAACAAACAAACAAAAACACCCGAAATAAAATAAACAAAAACTTAATTTTGCAGCTGGAAGGGCTTCAGCTACGTAAAACATATGCTGGATAAGTTGGCGGTTCATTCCGCTGTGGCAACCCCAGATTGATAAAGGGACTAAACCAAAAACAAAATGAATAAAATTAAATAACTTTATTTTAACCTTTAATTTTTAATAAACAAATTGAGTGGTTCAAGTTCAGGTTAAAAAGTTACATTTTAATTTCATTCAACTTATCTGTTAATCACAATAAACTTTAATTAATATTTGAATAAAGAAACTATTCTTATATTATTATTTTGACATGTTTTATGGTAAAGACACACAAATAAACATTTAATACCAACAATGTACTGTATGAATTAAAGAAACATCTGTGTGAACATGTAATCTGCAGGAGTATTCAATGCAGTAGCTGTTCATGTTTTCACTTCCTCGCCTGCACACAGAAAAAAAAGGACACCTTAAGTGATGAAATGATTCAATTATTTTCTCAGTGTATTACTGTGACATGCCAGAAAAAATAAATAGGCTAGCTCTTATTTTGCGATGCAGTCAAAAAAGACGTGCCAAAGTATGGATTCTAATATTAAGAAACTTCTCACCTGAAGTGGGGGAGCCGTTGAGCAGGAGGGCCTGTTTGGAGCGTTTTCATAGATTTCATTCCGATTTTCATATATATGGTTTCCATCTCCATTAGTATCCGGGAAATTATTAGTTTCTTCAAAGCTTATATCCTACAAAAAATATATATATTCTGACATTACAACATATAGCATTACATGAAAGAAAGTCTAGCAGTAAAAATACACTCATGGATCCTTCAATACTATGAATACACCCCAATCAGATGAGACCTATACATGTACAGCATGTGTTTGTAATGTGTCACTTGAAATCAGACTCAACATTTTAAATTAGGTTTTTTACAATATAAGATTAAATTGGCTTTTCCTAAAAAAACAAAAAAAACAATAGAAAGTTACTCACAAGCTCCTGTCCTCTTTGTGCTGTGGCTTAAATACAAAAAACAGTGCGTTCAGACTGAGAGAAAAATGACTGAATCATCTGTGGTGTAAATAGGTAATTTGTAATCTTGTGTACAGTAAGATGGCCATTATCAAGTTCAGTCTTGTTTAATGTAATGTAGACAGCTGTTATTTAGCTGAGCCATAATCAAGAATTACACAATGAAGAACAAACATACCTCCACTTGCTTCATCCCTTTTCAGACAGTTTGGTTTTGGACTGTTTTGTAAAGACAAAGATATTTTGTTACAATTATGTCAGAAATAAACAGCCTATAAGAGATCTTATAACATCTTTTCTAAGGGTGCTTTCACACCTAGACTTTTTGTTTCGGGACCTGTCTCGTTTGCCCAGTTAGCGCGGTTCGTTTGGCATATGTGAATCCAGCAATCGCGCTCGGATCCGCGCCAAATGAATCGCTCCGAGATCGCTTGAATGAGGTGGTCTCGACTTGATTGAAACAAACTCTGGAGCGGATCGATTATAGTGAGAAAGTGATACAATATGAGCTCGGTTATATTACAGTGTATTATGGATTTGTAATAGGCATACGACTAGTTGAAGAGAGAATTATGAGTATGGCGGGAGGTCATTCCAGACATCCCAAGTCTCCCGGAAGTTTCAGGAGTCTCCCACAAATGCACAGACACTCCCGGATGCCCGCAAACGAGTGATAATCTCCTGGAAATTGCGCGTCTCCCTTCCGGTCCTACAAAAAGTTGCGCACCCATCTCACTCCTCCCCACTGTATCCCTCCTATCTCTTCACACGTCACACGCACCTTGTCAAACACCACCAAACCACTACCATCCCCCTGACAGCGGAGCAAGAGAGTTTACACACACGTGACATGTTTTAGCTCTTTTGGTTCGTTCAGAAACTTTGCTGTGTGAAAGCGATCCGCACCAAGAGTAAAGAGCAACAATGTAATAATTGTAAACCCTGTTCCCCTTCGGATGGGGAACTCCAATGCTATGTGGAAAACCTTCCACTATGGGGTTTTCGTCAGAAACCAATGAATGCTAAATGAATTGGCAGTGTCAGCATGCACAGCTTGCGTCAATGACAATCAGTCAAGTATATAAGACGTGGCTAGTGCAATGCTTGACATCCTTTTCACTTTCAGAGCCAGTCATGAGCTTCTGAGAGAGTCTTTGAGGGTTCTCCAACATGTGTCTACAGAGAGAGATTGAGAAGCAGCTTCTCCCGGTCCAGAGCGCGTATACGCAGTGGCAGACTTTGGGTCCGGTCCTCCAAGACCGGTTTGTATACAGGAAAAAAAAAGCTTTCCTAAAAGAGCAACACGGTTTTGCAGCGTGTTTTTTTCAAGACGTCGCTTTGACCGTGCGTTTCTGGATGCGGTGGTTTTCTATCCCCGGATGATGGTCGCGGTGAGTGCATGCCGTCTCTTTGATGTCATGTCTGCTGCGCAGTTAAGATCGCGGCTCGCTACTGCAAAAGAGCGACCCACCCCAGTTGTACCCTGCACTGCGGTTGGCACTCTGGCAGATCTGAGGATTACAGTGGGAGTAAATCCGCTGCCTTCGTGCTGCAGACCTCTCGCTCCTTCACGCGCTCCATCCAAGCTTCAGGTGAAGAGATGCGCTCCATCTTCGGATGGTCTCTCTCTCACTTGATGACAACGAGGTTCAGATGTCCATCGCTGCATCTGAGGATGGGCTGTCATTGTCTGATGAGGATGCAAACCCGCTCGCTCCCTCCCTCTGGGGTGGAGAGCACGGCGTTAACATCTAAAAAGCAGACATGATGGCCGTGCTTTCCCGGGCTGCTTCAGCCGCAGGCCTGGTGATGGTTTATCCCCCAGAGTGTTATGTGGAGGATTCAAAGCCTTCCGTCCCCTTCTTCCCAGAAGTACACAGTAAGCTCAAGCAGTTTTGAGGGCACTTTTTTCTGCCCGATCTGCATGCGCTTCCATCCTCACCATCCTTGGAGGGTGTGCTGTCAATGTCTGATGAGGATTCGAGCCCGCTCCTCCCTCCGGGTTAATGAGCGCGGTGACTAATCTACAAGCAGACTTTGTGGCCGGGCTTTCCCAGGCTGCTTCGGCCGTGGCTTTGGAGATGGTTTATCCCCCAGCCCCGCAGCCAGACTGACTAGAGGGGTATGAAAACCCTTCTTCCTGGATGCGCACAGTAGGCTTACGCAGTGTGCTGCATGCACCTCCACCCTCACCTCGCATGCTACGGCCACCTACCAGTGCTACCAAGCGCAGGCGCTGTCCCAGCTGCGTGAGGATGGTTCCGACCCAGGACTGGGCATGAGCTCCGCACCCTAGGAAGGACGATGGCCACATTAGTGGCCAGGAACACCACTTCAGGCTAAATATCGTGATGTGTGTGATGTTGACAAAGTTCGCTTTCTTAACTCACCCATATCCCGGGCTGGCCTGTTCGGTGACACCGTCAGTTGGAGGCGATGGGTTATAATCTATCGGCGGGATCGTAAGACCGCTCCCTCCTACTGAGCCTGTAGCTTTTTGTTCCGTCGCCCCGCCTGTGCCTCTGGCCAAGCGGCTGCACCGAGCATCTCGCAGACAACCAGCGCCCCCCGCCCCAGGGTGACGCTAAGTTTGGTAAACGGACCGCAAAGCATCCCTGAGACGGGCCATCAGAGGAGGAGGGAATTTGCTCTTTCCCAGCTGGAGGGCGGGGCTCTAAATTAAACGGCGTAAAAAATAAAAAAAAAACGGCATCAAATCTTCAAAGAGCTATTTTCCCCTTCCCTGGATGTGACAGCCCAAACACTGCCAGTTTGGGCCGCTATGCTTTCCAGCTCGCAGGATCGGTTTATTTCGCCAATGGTTCACAGAGTGCGAGATATCGATCTCCTTTCTCTCCCTCTCAGAGCACCTCCGCCAGAGTTTGGGTGCGAGACAAGAGCGAGTCTCTCGCTCTCCCACTGGACCCCAGCGCTCCCTGGGTGAGCCCACCCACTCCACGCTGCCTCACCGGGTTCACTTGCAAGGGCTCTGTCTGCCTGGTTAGCGTGGGCCAGCCCATCACAATGTCTCATCCGTGCGATCGGACTCGGCTTTGTGATACAGTTCGCAAAACGGTTTCCCAAGTTCACAGGCGTGCATTTCACCAGGCTCAGTCCTGCGTCCGCCCCTGTCTTGCAAGTGGAGATTGCTGTCCTCCTGGCAAAGGATGCTATCCAGCCAGCCCCTCCAGCTGAGATGGAGAGCGGGTTTAAGAGCCCGTACTTCATCATGCCCAAAAAGAGTGATGAGTTACGGCCAGTCCTAGATCTGTGCATTTTGAACAGCTGCCGTCACAGGCTATGTTTCAAAATGCTTACGCAGAAGCACATCAACCGATGAGTTCGTCCTCAGGATTGGTTTGCAGCAATAGATCTGAAGGACGCGTATCTGCATTTCTCATGCTCAATTCTCTCGACATTTGGCGGATTTTAGCTCACTCTCAGGGAAAATTGACTATGCACAGAGACAGGGTGCTCCGGCACCTCCCCCTGTTGGGGTTTCAGATCAACTGAGAAAAGAGCTAGCTCGCCCCCATGCAGAGCGCCTCCTTTCTGTGGCTGGAGCTGGGCTCAATCACCATAAAAGCGCGCCTCTCCAAGGCGTGTTGCCGTGCCCCCACCCCCTGGAGGGACCCCTCTTTCCTACGGGCCAGAGTGCCCCGGGGTTAGGCGTCCAGGCATGTTGTCATTTTGACAGATGCTTCTAGTACGGGTAGGGAGGCTGTGTGTTGCAGGCATGCTGCTGCGGACCTGCGGAAGGGAACCCAGCTGCATAGGCATATCAACTGCCTAGAGCTGTTGGCAGTGTTTCGACTCTGCGCCGCTTTTTACCGGCACTGAGGGGGCAAAACGTGCTGGTCAGGATGGACAGCACAGCGGCGGGAGCATATGTCAATCGTATGGGAGATATGCGTTCCCGCCGCATGTCTTAGCTTGCTCGCCGTCTTCTCCTCCGGAGTCACACGTGGCTGAAGTCGTTTTGTGCTGTTCACATGCCGGGCAAGCCCAACCGTGCGGCCGGCAGGCTCTCACGGCAGCTCCTTGCCCCAGGAGAATGGCGACTCCACCCCGAGTCTGTTCAGCTGTCATGGGCACTGCCCCACAAATGCATGCGCAAATTTGTGTTTTCCCCAGTGAGCCTGCTCCCGCAGTTACTGTGCAAACCCAGGGAGGACGAGGAGCAGGTCTTGTTAGTTGCGCCTCTCTAGCCCAACCGGACCTGGATTTTAGAACTCACCCTTCTCATGACGGCTCCCTGGGGGGTCTCTTGAGAGAGCACCTACTCTCTCAGGGACAGGGCACCCTCGCCCAGATCTGTGGAACCTCCACGTGTGGTCCATAGATGCGAGGAAGACTTAGGTAACCTACCGATGGTGGTAGTTAATACCGTCACCCAGGCTAGAGCACCCTCTTTGATGCATGCCTACGCCCTATAGTGGAGTCTATTCACTAAGTGGTGCGCTTCTCGCTGAGTAGACCCCACCATCTTGCCAGATCAGTGTTGTGCTTTTTTTCCTTCAGGACAGGCTGGAGCGAAGGCTGTCGCCCTCCACACTGAAGGTTTACGTGGCCGCTATTTCCTCCCATTATGATGCGGTAGATGGCAGCACCTTGGGGAGGCATAACATCGTCATCCGGTTCCTGAGAGGTGCGAGGCATATGGTTCCACCCCGCCCCCCTGTCATGCACTCTTGGCACCTCGCAGTAGTGCTAACGAGCTTACACGAGGAGCCCTTTGAGCCACGATTCAGTATCCTTGAGATTTCTGTCCTTGAAGACAGCTCTGCTGGTCGCATTGGCATCGGTTAAGAGGGTCGGGTACCTGGAGGCATTTTCGGTCAGTGACTCATGCCTACCCGGCTATGTGCCCAAGGCTCCTACCATGCCGTGTAAGGATAAGGTAGTAAGCTTGCAAGCGCTGCCCGCGGAGGAGGCAGACCCAGTCCTTTTACTATTGTGTCCTGTTCACGCTTTGCCAACCTATGTGGACCGCACTTAGAGCTTTAGATCCTCTGACCAGCTCTTTGTCTGTTACGGTGGTCGGCAGAAGGGAAGTGCTGTATCTAAACAGAGGTTGGCCCACTGGAGAGTGGATGCCATCTCCCTCGCTTATCTGAGCCAGGGTGAGCCGTGTCCCCCAAGGGTTAGAGCGCACTCCACACAGAGCATCGCATCCTCTTTGGCGTTAACATGCGGCGCCTCTTTGACAGACAGTTGTA